CAATATCCTTAGCAAGCAGAGAAATGAAGAAAACTACACTGAAATTTCATCTCATTCTAGTTAGAATGATAGTCGTGAAGAAGACAAATATAAGTATTGGTGAAGACGTGGGGGAAAGATATACTTAGGCATTGTTTATGGGACTCTCAATTAGTACAACCACTGTGTAAAGAAGTATGGAGAATCCTCAGAAGACTAGGAATAGAGCTGGATTCTGTGGAGCATGCTTGTAATCCCAGCATTTTGGGAGGCTGAGGCAGTATGATCAAAATTCAAGGCCAGCTTCAGCAACTAAGTGAGGCCCTAAACAACTTAGCAAGACCCTGTCTCAAAGTAAAAATTAAAAATGGCTGGCAATGTGGCTCTGTGGTTAAGCAACCCTAGGTTCAATCCCTGTTTTTTTGTTTTGTTTTGCTTTTGTTTTTAAAGACTAGGAATGGAGTCAGCGTATGACACAGCTGTCCCACTCCTTGGTATTTATCCAAAAGAAGTAAAGTCTGCACAGGATACGGACACATCAGTGTTGATAGTGTTGATAGCAGCACAATTCAACAGTAGTCAAGATATAGAAACCAGTCTAGGTGCCCATCATTAGACTGTATTAAACAAAATATGGAGTTTTACTCAGTCACAAAGAAGAATGAATTTATACAATTTACTGATTAATGGATAGAACTGCAGTACATCTTGCTAAATGAAATGAACAAGACTCAGAAAGTCAAGGGTGAAATATTTTTCTCAGATTTGGAAGCTAGAGAGAACTAAGGAATGAAAAAAGAATATCTTGTGAAGATAAGGGAGAAAAATGGAATAGAGCAGGGGATGGAAGGAAAGAGGAAGGTTGGGAAAGGGGACGGACTGAGGAATGAAATATAAGTCCTGGCAATTTAGCATGAACTTCCCAAGTAGACTCCACAGCAGACTTGGGATGATTCAGAAAGACTGTGGATGAAGTTTTCTTTCATGTTTTGAAGGGAATACGAACATATACCGTGCTATGTTCCCTTTTGTGATATTACACCAAAAGGAGCCTTATTCTGAAAGACGATCTTAATAAAGTATAGGAATGGAGGAACAGTCTCATTATATTTATTGTAGTTTTTATATTGTTTATAAAACCATTTGGTTTATTTATTCTTCAGTGTCTACTTAGATTGGCCCTAACAGAAATTTCAGTTATGGAACAGTAGTCCTGCCCATACATGTTCACTAAACTCAGTTTTTGTTTTTGTTTTTTTTTAGTTGTTGATAGACCTTTTTTTCTTTTTTATTTTCATTCATTTATCAGTGGGGCTCTCACTCAAACCCATGCCTCACACATGCCAAGCACGCGCTCCACCACTGAGCCACAACCCTGTCCCTAAACTTAGCTTCTTAATTTTATATGAAACATGTGTTAGGAGATACCATTCCCTTTTATTTGCAAATCTTGTTGTTTTTTAAAGCAATAAGTCATGCAAAATATTAAAATATGAGTGGTAGGGTAAGGACAGTTGAAGCCATCCAAGGACATCTAGTTTTATTAGAGTTTTAAGGTAAATGTTTACTTTTTGTTGTGATTTGTAGTAGATGTGCATATCCAAAAAGTATAGGATAAATTACTTATTTTATCACATAAAGATTGGTAGAATAATGCATAGTAGTTTACTAGTGCCGCAGAAACAAATTACAACAAATTTCATGGCTTAAAACAACACAGGTTTATTATCATATAGTTCTGCAGGTCAGAAGTCTTAAAATCAAGGTGACTTTGGAATGTATTTCTTCTGTAGGCTGTATGGGAGAATCTGTTTCCTGCCTTTTCAGACTCTAAAGATCATAGGCATTTCTTGACTCATGTCTCCTTCACCCATTTTTCAAGACCAGCAACTCAACATTTTCAGATATCTCTTTTTTTCCTTCCCTCTCCTCTCAAGATTTCTGCTTTTGGTTTCGTATCTTCTCTCTGACCTTTCTATTTCCCTCTTTTAAAGAAACTTTGACTATATTGGGTTTACCTAGATAATCCAGGATAATAATCTGATTATCTCTTAATTTGGTTATATCAGCAAAGTCCCTTTCTCCATTTAAGGTAATTTCCTCACAGATTCTGGAATGTGGATGCAGGCATCCTGGGGAGCAGTTCAGCCCAATACGTTGTTATTTATGTTCTAAAAGTAGAGTTTTTGTAATTAGTTCATGTTGGCTTGTGAAAGCATCAAAATTAATGTCTACAGAGGATAATTTCCCCTTCCTCAATCTAAGAAGATATTTTCCACTTAACATTCTATCTTAGAAATAATATATTCCTAAAGTGATGCTTTAGTTTTGATTGCATGGAGTTAATTTGTTGCATTTAATGTCTACCATGTATCCCGGGGCTTAGGTGTTTGCAAAAAGAAAAAAGGATTGAGATTTTAAAATACACTGATACTCTGGGTCCTGCTATTGCTGTGAATACTAAACTGCCTTTTTGTCTCTAACCCACAAATCGTGTGTCTTCTACCAGCATCCATGATACTACCAGGATAACATGTTAGATTGCAAATTTGGTAAAGTTTCAGACCCTTCACAGGTCTTGTGACATGTGTAATACCAATTATTAGTCCAATGAATTCAAAATTATTTTGTTTTATTGGACATATTTATGGAGTACTTTGTCAATGTGACATGCATATAATGTTAATTATAAAATCAGATTAGTTAGCATTTCCTTCTTAAATTTGTATGATTTCCATATGTTGGGCCCCTTTGAGCTCTACTCATTATTTTAAAATATATAATAAATTATTAAACAACTTCTTCTGTCTGATGTGCTATGGAACACTAGAGCTAATTCCTCCTGTCTTTAAATGTATTTTGGTACCTGTTATCCAACCTCATTCTATTCTCCCTTCTTACTGTTCTTCTCAGTCTCTAGTAACCACTGTTCTACTCTCGACTTCTTTGAGATAAATTTTTTTGACTTACACATGAGTGGGTGAGTATATGCAGCATTTGACTTTTTGTAGTTGGCCTATTTCACTTAATGTCTTCTAGTTTCATCCTTATTGCCACAAATGATAAGATTTTATTTTTTATTGCTGCAATATATTTCGTAAAGAAAATGCCATATTTTCTATCTGTTCTTCTGTAGATGAACACCTTAGTTGATTCCAGGGTTTGGCCATTGTGCATAGTGTTGAAATAATCGTAGGTGAATAGGCATCTCTTCAGTATATCGGTTGCTTTTCCTTTGGAGATATACCCAGTAATGGGATTACTGGATTATTTGATCATATGATAGTTCCGTTTGTAGTTTTTTGAGGAATCTCCAAACTGTTTTACTCATTAGCTGTACTAATTTGTCTTCACTGAGGTTGTATAAGAGTTCCCCTGTCTCCACATCTTCAACACCATTTATTATATTTTTCCTTCTTAATGATAAACCTTATTCTATAAAAGTCAACTTTTTCATTGCTGTGACCAAAATACCTGTTCAGAACAATTTTAGAGGAGAGAATAGTTACTTGGTGCTTGTACTTTCAGAGGTCTCAGTCCATAGATGGCTGATTTGCCTGATCTGCTTGAGGTGAGGCAGAGCATCATGAGTGAAAATGTGTGGAGAAGAAAGCAGCTCAGGACATAATGACCAGGAAGCAGAGAGAGTTTTGCTCAGGAGGAATAAAATATAAACCCCACAGGCATGCTCCCATTGACCTACTTCTTCTAGTCACATGCTAATTGCCCACAATAACTGCCCAGTTAATCCATTTCAGTGAATTAATGTACTCATTATGTTAAGGCTCTCATAACTCTTCATCTTTAAACTTTCTTGGACTGTCTCACACTTTCGCTCTTGGGGGACACCTCCTATCTAAATCATAACAGACCTAACTAGGGAGACAGTAATATCTCATTATGGTTTTGATTTGCAAATCCTAAACTTTGTTAACTCTTCTATTTAAAAATGTCTATTCAGATCACTTGTCCATTTTTAAATTAGTTTTTTGTTTTTTTAACTGAAAGTTTTATGAATATTCCATATGCATTTGAAGATTTAATTTGTGTTATTAGAGTATATTCTAAATAAATTCATAAGTCAGATCTACCTTATAATGCAGATCTACCTTATTAATTACGGTCATGTGTACTTAACTATGAGGACTTGTTTCAAGAAGTGGGTCATTAGGAAATTTTGTCATCATGAGAGCATCTTAGAATGTACTTAATGCAAACAAACAAAGATAGTTGGGACACTGCTAAGTAATAAAATCTTTTGGGATCACTATTATGTGTGCAGTCCATCATTGATGGAAACATTATTATGTAACATAACTGTCAAGTTATTGATTTTTTTTTATATTATGACCTTTCTTGAACTACAAGTGATGTATTGAAGTCTCTTGTTAGTAGTATTTCTATTTCTTGATTTCCTGTAGTTTTTCCTTTATATAAATAGTTGCTATGTTTATCTGATACTAGATAATATAGTCATGTCTTGTGTTCTTTTCTTGTTTTCTTCTTTGTCTAAATTTTTTGGAACAACTTCTCAATAATTGCTTCCTAATTGTTCCTAATTGCATGATATATTTTGTATTTTCTAAACCCTTCTTTTATGGTTTAGATATGAGGTGTCCCTCAGAAGCTCATGTATGAGACAAAGAAAGAAACTGATTGGGTTAATGAGAGCCTTAACCTAATCAGCTCATTAATTCACTTGCATGATTGAAATGGGTGGTAACTCTTGGTAGGTAGGATATAGCTGGAAGAAGTAGGTCACTGAGGGAATACGTAACATTTTCTGAATTTAAAATACTACTCTTACTTGCTTTGCATATTGTTCTTAAGAAAATTAACTCTTAAAATTGTTTTCTTGTGACTTCCTTAGTAGCAAGATAATTTTTACTGTGGTAAGAGTTATTCTTTTCTAAAAATTAAGATTTTAATTAATGTCAACTTTCTTAAGACATGGGAAGAAATTTAAATCATAACAAATATAAGCTCCTAACTGAAATTTTTGTTTTTTTATTCTTCAACAGGAATTAAAACCTGATATGGTAACTAAATCTGCTCTTGGCGATGATATTGACTTTGAAAAAATCTGCAAGAAGGTATATCTATAGTGGATGGCATTTGTTTATGAAAAGCTCTTTATTTTATGCTTACTTTTGCATGTCATGTATTCATTGAATAGAAGATCTATCAACTATTAGTATATGGTGACTTTCTCACTGAGTTTCAGTATCACCACTGAAAGGATTTTTAAGGGAATTTAACTGTTTCACTTTGCTGTAATGTCCCACTTGCAAAGTCCTTAATACAGCATTTCATGTTTTGTAGAATAATTACTCTGTTAACCTATTAGTTACAAGTAGGAATCTATTTTTTTAAATTTATAAATCATTTTCGTGAATATCTCATGTAATTTCTGCACCTACCTTGTAAAACTTTTATTTTGCCCTCTTTTTACAAATGAGGACAGTGGAGCTCAAAAATGAGTTAAATGAGCTGATTAAGGTTAAATTCCTCTATTACGTGGCACAGTTAGTGCTTTTATCCATTTGGATTTGTCACTGCTGTTTGGATTTGTCACTCTTGCTTCTTCCTTACTATTTCCCCTTTTTTTTCTACCAACTTTGCTAATACCTATACTAGACAGTTCACCTTGAGAACAGATTTTGTATTAATTGAATTTTTTTCTCTCTGCTTTTCATTTTTTAATTTGATTTTTGCTCTAACCTACACTTCTTTCTATCTCCTATTGATTTTACATTATAAATTAATCAGTTATACTATATTATTTGTATAAACACTATGTACAATAAGTAATGCCAAGAATTAAATATTTAGCTTAAAACTAAGTAAAATCTAGATGTATTTGGATGGTTTAAACTTTCCTTACAGTTCATCAGTATTTTAAGCCAATTCATTTATTGCCTTAGTTTTAAATACAACCATATGTTTAATTAAAAGAGAACACTATCTCCTAAGACAAGATCCATAGTAATAATCTTTTCCATTTCGATACTTTGTACTCTTGATTTTCTTCATTTCTTCCTGTCATATTATTGTCTCCCTATGGTTATTAAAAGAGCCTTTTTTTTTTTAGCTCTTTTCTTATTAGAGGAAGGCTTATCTTGGCCTCTGCTTATCTAGAATTCTTCATAAGTACATGAGTTCAACATCATTTTCAAGTTTTTTCATTGTTGTTTTACTTTCTTTTAAGGTAATTTTTCTTCCTTAGTTGTCTATAGGACATATACATTCTGTGATGTGAAATCTTTAAATTTAGAGATTAGTCCACTCCAGGAAATAGGATCCAAGGAAGATGAATTAGGACTTAATATATTTTCACCATTAATTTGTTGTTTATATCTTTAAATAAAACCTGGAATTGAAATAGACCTGCCTTATTATTAAAAGCACTCTTACTAGCATTTTACCTCTACCAGTTAATCCGCAGTCACTTGTTGTGTGCAACATTTCCAAGGATTAATTTTACACATAGGAGATATTTTTAGACTGTTGTTTACATTCAGAGGTACATTTTCAAAGTTGAATACCAAATACATTTTGTGCTCACAATAAATACCCATGTGCCAAAATAAAATTTTCCCATTAAAAAATGAAGTGTTTTCCACTTTTTATGTAATTTATTTGAAATGGAAGAAACTGTGGAGGTGTGTAAAAACCACAATTTCCTGAGAATTTTCCATAGCAAACATTGTGTCCATTTTAAATAAGGAAAACTGTGGTTTCCTTCATCCTCCAAATATTATGAAGATTTTTTTCATGCAGGTGTAAAAACTTTTTGTTCTTAGAGTCTACTCAGTAGCCTGCTAAGCTTCAAATTTTTTTTCTTTAAATTTAATATGTATCACTCTTATTTATTTTCCTTTTATTTATTTCCACAACATTTCTCTCTCTCAAATGAAATTTATCATATTCTGCCTTGGGTAAGACATTTGGGTATTTATCTTAGCTTTTTAAATTAGAGCAACATTGTGAGCCTCAAAAGATGGATTTTGTGTCTTCACATGTAGGATGATGCCTTCACATAATAATGGCTCAGTAAAATTAAAGAAGGAGGTAGTGAGAAAGGAAAGAAGATGGATTGCCCTACTCATTCTTTTGAGTTCCTGGTGGCAATCAAGATGCAGGCAGACATTATCTCAATACAGCAGACACAAAACTCTGCCAAAAGAAGAAATATGTATCTACTTGCTTCACTAGTTTTTTTTTTTTAAATATTTATATTTCATTTCTTTCCAGAAAGATTTGAAAGATTCTTGACACACAATTTAGTGTTAAAAAGCATTTGGATTGAGTCACAAATGAAAGTTATCTTCAGTCTTTTTAGAAAAAAAAAAAAAATTGTTAGGAATATTAGACTGAATTCAGAAGCCTGAGATTTTGAGTTCTGGATTGTTAGTCAATTGATGAATAAAATGTTTGACCTTTAGCTCTTGTTAGAATTTGAGCTTCAAAAATTCAATGAAGGGCTTTCTAAAAACAAATTTTTAAAAATAAAATTAAAGGGGCTGGGATTGTGGCTCAGCCTAGAGCGCTAGCCTAGCACATGTGAGGCCCTGGGTTTGATCCTCAGCACCACAAAAAAGTAAATAAATAAAATAAAGATATTGTGTGTAACTACAACTAAAAAATAAATATTAAAAAAAAACAATAAAATTTAAGAAACATATAAAATTGTACCTTTTTTACTTAGAAATAATTTAAGGTTATCTAAATAATTGATATAATTTATGAAATTGACATTTCTAAGACATAAAAACATTTTTAAAAGTGTATAATATTTTATTGGTCTTTTAATAACAGAAAATTTAATCATTCCTATCTATAAAAACTAATGTTTAAGTCAAGAAATTTTTCCAATTGCACTGTTTTTCCTACTCCCCAAAAAACAAATATGAATAAATAAAAATAGCTAGTAGTTAAATATATATACAGAGGAGAGATAGATAGATTGATTGATCCTCTACAATGAATTCTGATGTTTCTGAATGCCTTGATTAAATAATTTTCAATTCAATGAAAACTTCAATTATCATTATTTTAATTTATTATATAATTTTTAATTGTTTTAATTTGTTATAATAATATATAATTATATATAATAATTATAAATTTATATAATAAATAATTATAAATTAATACCCAAACATAATTTGACCTTTTCCTTCTAGGCTGACAACTTAAAAGAACTCCAGAAGCCATTTACTTTCAACCCATTGTTCTTAAGCAGTATTATATTCCTGCCTATGCAACAGTGAAATTTTAGCCAATGTTAAGGACATGGGTACTACTGCATATTGTAAAGTGGATTGTCCATTTATAGACCAGAGACACAAAATGTCTTTTCAGGTATAGAGTTTTTACAAGAAGTCTTACGCTAACACCTTTTCCTTTTCCTGAATAAGCCACATTTTCCTCAATTATTAGCTAATGAGCTAAAATACATACAGCATCAGAATGTTTTATGTCCTCATTTAAAGTACTTATTAATACAATAATTAATACTTTGCAGTTATCATGAACTATTCTTTTTCTTTTAAAACAAAAATTACACGTGACTGTACAACATAGGTTGTGGTATTCAGAGTTCTTCATAGCTGCTCAATTTCATATGCAAACATAAGTTGCAGACCTAAAGTTCTTAGTTCGCTGAACTCAGTACTGCTGCAATTGACTGTGCAGTTCTAATTTGATGACTACAGCATGAGTAGCAGTTCTGGAATTACACAACACAATGCCTCTTTTCAAATCATTCTACCTTTTTATTAATTTGGTATTCTCCCCCAAATAAGCCCCCACACAAAGTTGCAGCCTGAAAACACAAATTATGTTTGAGTATTAACTTTAATGCTATTATTATTATTATAATTCTATAATAGAGGGAAACATTTAAAAGAAATTAGAAGAAAACCCTCCTTCATTTACATAATTATATAATTGTAAATATTACTGTAGAGACTTTTAAAAAAAGAATTTACTGAAATCATATTACTAAATCACAGTTACCATCTGGGACAATTTTCTGGGGCAGAGAAATAAAATGTGTTGAATAAATTTTAAAATAATACCCCTAGTTTACACTAGACAATCAATTCTATAGCTTTTATAACCACCATGAAAAGATATAGCTATCTCTAGAAAGGAAAATACCTAGCTCAGCAAAGATGTTAGCACTTTGTTAAAGCAGGGATTTGAGAGTGGCAATAGTTTTTGAACAATCGGTTATGAATACATTTTAATTAAGATTTCTTTAGGATTCTTAGAATTTCTTATATAAAATGTATGAGATTAATTTACATAATGATAACAGGTGCTTTCTAACTTATTTGTTTTTTAAAGACACTGATATTCAAATATTACAGATTATCTTTGAAGTGAACTTAGCTTCAAGGGGGAAATACATTGAAATAAGCAGTCAAATATAACAGCTTCTCCTGGAGTGTCCTCTTTTCCCTTATAATGTGAAGGGTAATTTCCTGGGAAATGTATAACATTTATCAGCACTAATTGTTTTTTTGTTGTTGTTGTTCTTGTTTTTATGGTTAAATCTTCTGGGATTAATCCCGAGATTAAATTTACTTCTTCTACTCGGAATATCACTTCTTCTGTTTCTATAATGCAAAAATCTCAAAGAATGCCACCATTCTGGATGCACATTTAGTTCTCTAACATGTTGATTGGCTTTGGCAACAAAGGTCTATTATAGCAGAGCTTTTATTTTAAACCTTAGGGTTTACTGAAAAGCTAAAAAGTTTTTTCCTTTTTTCCTTGATACACAAGATTCAACTTTCTTGGATTTAGAGCACCTGTCACTAAAGCTGGTTTTTTATACTATAGTCTCATTTTAATTTTCTTTGCAAATATTTTTACCAAATAAGGTCACATTTTGAGTTTCCAGGTGGACATGAATTTTGTGGGGACACTTCAGCTTCAGTCAAGGAGACAATTAGCAGGTTGTCGTAGCACAGGATTGACACCAGATAAAATTTAAATAACTTATTTTTGATTTAACATTATTCAGCTAAGTACTCCAAAGAGAACATAACTTTAAACTGCCATTATCCTGCTTTTGTTTAGGTGTTCATATGTTTATATCACTGGGGGAGAAAAGCCAATATATTTGGCTAAAACAATGAAGGATAACTTTAGGACAAAGACATTTGAAGCTTGTAGCTCTAGTTTCACATAATGATGAAATTTAATCACTGGCTTTATTGTTTATTTAGTACCTGCTCTTGTAGACACTGTTAAGTCACCAGATCTACACCATATTTCGTAGGTATGAATGTATTTGCAATGGCATACAGTGTTAAGTGCTGTGAAGTAAATAGTGATGGAAAATATTTTGCTAGTTGAGATGGCTTTGGAACGTGAACCTGAATACAATGAAATGAACAGCCATTTATGTATTTGTGAGTAGAACATTCCAGGTAAAGAGGAGTTTGCAATGAAATGGCTTAAGCATTATCTGTGAGAGCAAAATCCAAAGGAGACCAATTCACTATGGGCTTATTAACTTGGATCACATGAGAGATACTGGTGATTCTGTCAAAGGCAGAAAGAGTAAAAATGTTGAGAGGTGATTGGTTCTGGATATATTTTGCAGATAGAGTCACAAGATTTGCTAAAGGATTTATTGTGAGATGTGAGGGAAGAAGAAATATGGTGAAAGAATCCTTAGTTTTAGGGCTGAGCACCAGAAAAATAGAAAGTTCAATAAGATGGCAAAAACGATAGGAGAAGGGGTTTATTTGGAAAAGAAAATCAAAGAGTTCTGTCTTGATATATCAAGTAAATGTATCAAGTAGGTAGTTAAATATATGAATCTGAGCTCAAGTTAGAGTTGGAGGTAGAAATTTGGAAGTTGTTGGTTCACATAAGATATTTAAAGCAATTAACCAATAGTATGAATTTTCTAAATTAATAAGACAACAGTATATATATGATCTTTTTAAATTCAGTCATCATCAGATTTTTTTCAAGGTTGACTTTAAATTAGGCAGTGTTTTAAATTCTAAGAATACAGTGGTGATACTGACTTTCAAAATATGAATATATAATATTGGTAATTCCTAGGTGTCTATTTCACATTTGATGAGGAGTACAATTCTGAAAACATTGTTTCCAAAATTTATTCAATTTTCAGATATTGCGTTATCTACATTTCCAGATATTTATCTGGAGTAGTCCATGTTCCAAAAATAATAACTATAATAAGTAAATAGTACTTTCTATTGATTACATTATCATTTTAATTGTTCCAAAGTAATAATATTTTTTGTCAGCATGATGTGTACCTTTAGCATAGATAACTTATCTATTAAGATTATTAACTAAATTGTTTCCTAATTTTAAAAGATTTGATTTTATTCACATTGAGTGGTGCCAGTGATTTTATTCCCATATATGTATTTTTTTCAATTTGCAGCCAGATTCTACAGCATCTGAAAGAGCAGTTGCCAGATTAGCAGTACACCCTCTTCTGAAGAAAAAAATAGATGTGCTTAAAGGTATGAATGAAATGATTTAACTCTTGAGTATTTTATAATATAAGCATAAGTTTCTTTCAAATATTTAAAAATGTGGAAGGTACCTGCAAATATAAAAAGTATCTGATTCTGAAGAAAAACTGAATCTATTTTTTTTTAATTTTAATATAATATACATATTATGTATATGTGTATTATATTCAGTGCATTTAAATATAACATACATGATCAAGTTGAATATATTTGGTGTTCTAAATGCTGATTAAACTCATGATATTTTTGATTTAGCCATTTCACATAATATTTATATGCATTATAAAATATAGAGAATTAAATACTTTTGCCACAGGTTAGATGAGATGTATTTTTGTTTGAAAGCACAGTTGAAAGTATTTAATGCGTTATGAACACAGAAATTAAAGTCGCCATTTTCCTTTATTTATATTCAGTGACATTTTTACTGTTCTTTGTAACTCCAACATATGAAGAAAGGGTGATTCTTCTTTTATTTGGCAGTTTAGAAATGGATGCATCCGAGCCTGTCATGAGTTAGATTTTTAAGAAATCAAAAGATTTTTTGTTAATTATCTCATTTTAAATATTTCATTATAAATTCAAGTTTTCCTCTTAAATGTTTCCAAATAATTTAAGAATTTCTGTCCTAAAACAGTGATGTTTTATATGTTTCAATGCTGAAATAAGTCATGTACTGTTTTTCTTGCAGCTGCTGTCCAAGCCTTTAAAGATGCAAGACAAAATGCTACCAAAGTTGACTCATCAAAGAATACTTCAGAAGAAAATCATTATAAAGACACTTTGTGTTCAAATGATGATGCAAGGAAATTACAGCCTGAAGAAACTATCACCAGTGAGCAGAAAGTGAAAGAAGCCAAAATACAGGCAAAGAAACCAACAAATAATTCAAAGGAAAAAATAGCCAAGGTAGAACATGGATCCAAAGCAGTAAACATTACAGAATCTCTGTCAAAGCCTTTGGGAGAGGATTCTGTAGTTCTTTGTCAACCTGAGCACACACCTGCTGAAACAAAAATGAAAACATTAAGTCAAACAAAAATAATGAAGGGGTCTGATAGCTCAGTTGATGGTAACAGTGATAGCGAAGAAGAATTACATGAAGAGGAAAAGGTGTATTTTGATGACAGCACAGAAGAAAGGTTCTACAAACAGTCTTCCATGTCCGAGGATAGTGATAGCGGTGATGACTTTTTCATTGGGAAAGCCAGGCGGACAGGAAGGAAAGAAAGTAGTTGCCATTCTTCAGCTAAGGAACAAAAACCCCTCCAATTTTTACCCAAGGAAGAGACTCATGAAACCCATTTGAATGTAAGAAATGACAAAAACAAGCCAAGTACAGAAGCCAGGAAGTTAGAATCAGTGTTTTTCCATTCTTTGTCTGGATCTAAAACCTCTAGAAGGTAAGGTTATTTTTTATTCTGAAATAATTATTAGTACTTATTTTTTTAATTTAGAACTTTATAGTTGTACATTGTAGTTGGGTTCATCCTGACAAACTCACACATGCATGGAAATTGATATCAGTTTATGGCACACGCATGCACACGCGCATGTGTACACACACACACACACACCCAGCCACCGCCCTTTTCTGTCCTGTCCCTCCTTCCCTCTCCAATTTTCCTTCCTCTACTTGACTTCCTTTCACTCATCCATTAGTGTATTTGATTGGTTCTTTGTATTAGCCTATCCTTCCTTCCTCCTTCTCTTTGTTTTGCTCTAACTTCCATATGTGAGAGAAAACATTCAGTTGAGTTTCTGAGTTTGGCATATTTCACTTGGCATGATATTTTCTGTTTCTATCCATTTACCAGCAAATACTGTAATTTCATTCTTTTTTTTAATATTTATTTTTTAGTTATAGGTGGACACAGATTAGTGCACCAATAAATTATTTTTATGTGGTGCTAAGGATTGAGCCCAGTGCCTCATGCATGCTAGGCAAGCACTCTACCTCTGAGCCACAACCCCAGCCCCTGTAATTTCATTCTTTTTGATGGCTAAGTATAACTCCATAGTGTGTGTGTGTTTGTGTACACATATATCCCAATTTCTTAATTCATTCATCTATTAATGGGCATTTGGTTTGATTCCATAATTTAGCTATTGTGCATCTGTAAACATTGAGGTGACTGTATAGCTGTAGTATGCTGACTTTAGATCTTTTAGGAATATACCAAGTGCGATAGTTGGGTCTTATGGTAATTCTGTTCCTAGTTTTTCGAGGAATCTCTATACTGCTTTCCAGAGTGGTTATGCTAATCTGCACCAACTATGTACAAATGTTTCTTTTTCCCGCAACCTCACTAGCACTTATTATTATTCATTCTTGATCATTGACATTCTGAACTGGAATAAGATGAAATTTTATTAGTTTTGATTTGCATTCTCCTGATTGCTGTAGATGTTGAACATTTTTTCATTTATTTTGTTGGCCTTTTGTGTTTCTTCTTTTGAGAAGTTTCTGTTCAATTCTTTGTCCATTTATTGGTTGAGTTATTTGGTTTTTTTGGCATTAACTTTTCTGAGTTCTGTATATTCTGGTTATTAGTCCCCTATGGGAGTGGTAGCTGGCCAAGATTTTTCCCCCATTCTGTAGGCTTTTTTTTCACTCTCATGCTCTTTTAATCATTTCCTTTGCTGTACAAATATGTTTTAATTTGAAGGCATCCCGCTTAGTGATTCTTGGTTTTATTTCTTGCACTTTGGAGGTCTTAAGGAAGTTAGTACCAGCACCTACATGATGAAGTGTTGATCATTCTTATGTTTTCTTCTAGCAGTTGTGAAGTTTCTGGTGGAACTCCTAAGTTTTTCATCCATTTCAGTTTGAGTTTTGTTGGGAGGGAGGGTCTGTTTTCATTTTTATACATAAATCTATCCTGTTTTCCCAGCACCATTTTTTAAAAGATGGCTAAAAGTATGTGTATTTGTCTCTTTGTCTTCTGTTCTATTCCATTGTTCTTCATGTCTATTTTGATGCCAATACAATGCTGATTTTTGTTACAACAGCTATGTAGTATAATTTCACATCAGGTACTGTGATGCCTCCTGCTTCGCTTTTCTTGCTTATTATTGCTTAGGCTACTCTGATTCTCTTACTCTTCCAATTAAGAATTTGTTTGTTCTAACCCCATGAAGAATATTATGGGGATTGCAGTGAATCTGTGTATTGCTCTTGGTAGTATCTTTGACCATACAAAGGCCTTTTTCTGCCTCTATTGAGATGATCATGTGATTTTTATCCATAATTTGTTTAAGTGATGAATTACATTTATTAATTTGCATATATTGAACCAACCTTGCATCCCTGGAATGAAAACAACTTGATCATGATGTATTATCTTTTTGATGTGTTTTTGAATGCAGTTTTCTAATATTTTATTAAGTATTTTGCATCTATGTTCATCATTGATCTGTAATTTTGTTTCCTGTTGCATCTTGTATAATTTTGGTATCAGGGTTATAATAGCTTCATTAAATGTATTTGGGTGTGTTCTCTCCCATTTTCATAGAATAATTTGGGAAAGACTGGTGTTAGGTCTTCTGTAAAGGTTTGGTAGAACTCAGCTGAGAATCCATCAGGTCCTGGGCTTTGCTTTTTTGGAAGGCTTTTAATTTCTCTTTGAATTTTATTATTTAATATTGGTCTGTTTAGATTTTCTATATCTTCTGATTCAATTTGGGCAGGTCATATGTGTCTCGAAATTGGTCAGTGCTTTTCAGATTTTCCAGTTTATTGTAGTATAAATTTTCAAAATAGGTTTTGATAATCCTTTGGATTTCAGAAGGGTCTGTGGTGATAAACAGTCTGTTTTCATCTCTGATTTTGTTGATTTGCTTCTTCTCACTCTTTCTTTTGGTTAGTTTGGCTAAGAGTTTCTCAATCTTATTTATATTTTTAAGGAACCAACTCATTTGATTTTTGACTCTGGTCTTAATTATTTCCTGCCTTTTCCTGGTTTGGAAATTACTTTGTTCTTACTTTTCTAAGGACTTGAAGTGGACCATAAACTTACTTATTTGGGATCTAATTTTTTTAATGTAAGCACTCAGTGCCATCAGTTTTCCTCCTAGAGCTGCTTTCATTACTGTCCCAGAGATTTTGATACATTGTATCTATGTACTTATTCATTTCTGAGAATTTTTGATTTCTAGTCTCCTTTCTTCTTTGATCTAGTCTTCATTTAAATGAGTGTTGTTTGATCTCCATGTGTCCAAGTAGTTTCTATTATTTTTCTTGCTGTTGATCTCTTGCTTCATTCCATTATGATCTGATAGGATATGTGGGATTAATGTTGTTGTTTTGCTAAGATTTGCTTTGTGGTCTAGGATGTGACCTATTTTGAAAAAAGTTTCATGTACAGCTGAGAAGGTGAATTCAGCTGTTTTGGGGTAGAATATTATGTAGCTATTCATTAGGTCCATTTGATTTATATTGTTTAGGTTGGAGATATCTGTATTGATTTTTATGTTTTAATGACCTGTCTGTTGGTGATGGGTGTGTTGGAATCACCCAGTATTGTATTGGGGTCTTTGTAGATTTAATGTCATGTAACTGGGTATGTTGACATTTGGGACATAAATGTGTACTATTATCTTCTTGTTGGATTATTCCCTTGATTAGGACTAGGATATAGTAGCCTTCTTGTCTCTTCTAATTAATATTTGCCTGAAACCTACTTTGTCACCTAAGAGACTAGCTATTCCTGCTTATTTTCTTCGTCCTTATGTATGGAATATATGTTGCCATCCTAGTACCTTCAGCCTGTGGATGTCTTTGCCTATAAGATGAACCTCTTATAGACAGCATATTGTTATTGTTAGATCTTGTTTTCTGATCCATTCTCCTACCTGTGTCTTTTATTTGGAGAGTTGAAATCACTAACATTCAGCATTAGTGTAGATTTGTGTTTGTGATTTTCTTCCATTTTGTTTTTTTGTTTGTTTGCTTGTTTTTGCTATATTTTATCCTGTTTTAATTCTCATTTAGTGGATTATTTGTCTATTGAACTTTCTGTGTTTTGGAGCTTTGGAAATTGATTTTCAGGTCCTTTTTTGCAGTTTGTCTAAGTATTCTTTGTAGTGTTGGATTGGTACTCATGAATTCTTTTAGTTTATTCTTGTCATGGAAAGTTTTTATTTCCCCCTTTTAATTTGAAACTGAGCTTTGCTTGGTATAGTAACATTGCTGGCAGTTGTTTCCTTTTAGGGTTTGGAATATCTCATTCCATGCCCTCCTTGATTTTAGCATCTGAGCTATGAAATTGAAAGTGAGCCTTATTGGTTTGCCTCTAAATGTGGCCTGGTGTTTCTCTCTTGCAGCTTTTAATATTCTTTCCTTATTTTCTGTATTAGGCATTTTGATTATGATATGTCTTGGTAAGCTTCTTATTTGGGGTCCTGTAAGCCTCCTTTATGTGGATGTTTATCTCATTTCTGATATGGGAAAAGTTTTCTGTAACTATCTCATTGAAAATGTTCTTTGTGCCTTCAGTTTGTATTTCCATATTCTTTTCTATCCCAGTGAGTCTCAGGTTTGGTCTTTTAAAGTTGTCCCAAAGTTCTTGTGTATTCTAGTCATGTTCTATAACTTTTTTCCCTTTATTTTACTCAAGACCATATACCCTGTCTTGAAGTTCTGTCTTCAGAAGGGCTGAGGTTCTGTTTTCTTATCTGTTAGTGATGCCTTCAATTGAATTTTTACTTTCTAGAAGTTCTGCTTGGTTTCTTTTTACTGTTTCTGTTTCTTTTTTAAAATGGTCTTTCATATTTGTAATTGTTCTCCTAATTCCTTCCTTAGATCTTCTTTTATTCGTTGAACATTTCAATAATCAGTTTTTTATAATCTACCTGTAGGCTTTGTCTGCCTCATTATCAGTGGGATCCTTTGTTGGGGCATTATGAAATTTCGGGGAAGATTTGTTTCCCTGTTTTCTTAGGTTTTCAGAAGTCTTGGACTGGTGCATTGATTGAGGCAATTTCTTTACCTCTTCCTTTGGGCGTGTCCTTCAGTGTGTAATTATTTTATTTGTTCTGAGACTTATCTGTGTTTTTGATGTATGCATAGATGCCAAATGCTGGGACCTGAGTTTCCTCTCTGATTGTTCCTCCTTGGGTCTTTGTTGTTGGTTTGAGGCTTTTTGTCTCCTCACTTGAATTGGGGTAATGTGAGGGAATGTTTAGTTCAACTGCAGTCTTTATACCTTTGAACTTTAAATGTCCCATTAGGTTCCCAACACCTCACAGAGTGGGGCAAAATAAACAGTAGTACCAATCATTGCAAACAACAAACAATACATTGTTAAATTTGCCACCATTAAAGAATAATGGTAACAACCATGAACTAGAACTGGCTTTACAGCAAATAGTAGGTATATACTATATCATTCACAGCAGTAATGATTATATGACCATTAATGATAGGTACAGGAATTAAATAGACCAATTAGTTCTGAAAGATGGCAGAAATATAGTTATTTAGGGGAAAAGGAAATGTGTCAGGAAGTTAATAAAGACTACGTTTTCAAAAGTGAACAGAGAATTCAGAAGAGATGTAGGAACTGACGTTTATACGGAAGGAGGGGAAAAATAGAAGCAGCAGTGTATTGGGAAAGAGAGAACAAAAGAATTTGGCAGTTAACAGGAGAAGAAAGAAATAAACAAATGCAAATAATACAAAACCAAATAAAAATATACAATCCAATAAACCCAAACCCTCAAAATATAATGCTAGTAAAAATAATTACATTTAAAAATGAGAGAAAAAGAAATAAGTGTATGTTTATATATTCCTTATGCAGTCAACACAGCCAGAATTCCACACACATATATGCTCACACATACACAGAAAGAATTTAAAAAATAATATAAAAATTTTTATTTGTTTTAAAATGAAGGAACCTTCTTAACTGAGGTAGTCAAAATAGTTGACCAGACTGGGTGGTCACTGCATACATCCACCAATCTTTCTAATTCTTCTTGAGTTATGTACTGATAGAGCAAGGGTTAGGGGATTTTAATCCCTTCCTGTTTTTGCATTGCTCTTTGAGCTGCTGCTAGTTGGAATGGACAAAGATTGACGCTGTTTGATACAAGACTCAGCTTCCCTTCTCGCCAGTTTGAGGTGGGATGGATTAGGAAGTATTAACACTTAGAGTTTTATCCATTTGGACCAGTTCACAGTGGTGCACTCCCAGGGTTCTGCTTCTGCAGCATTCTGTGAGAAGAGTTCCAGCAGGTGGGGCTGAGGTCTAATCAGGCCTCAGGAGCTTTGTTGGGTGGTCCCTGCTTTAGAGAGACTGAATCAGCCTACTCCTAGGGCTAGACAGTAGCTGATCTCTTCTTTGGGTCCGGTTCTCAGAAGCCTCCCAAGAAATCCACTCGTGGGGCAGAGGGCCAATGCTTCACTCACTGCTGCCCAGGAGCATGGTCTTCCTGGGCTTAGACCCTGAGTGTATTCATCACCACCCACAGGACCCTCCACCCCACCCCATCACCCCACTCAAATGCATCAGCCTGCTTCAGCAACACAAAGGAAAAGCAAGTTGGACTCCCTTTTGCCCTTCCATATGGAACCCCACGAGATATAGTAGTCTACTCTGTCCTGTTTCATGTTCTATTACACCCAGCCTAGGCCCCTCCATAGGCACCTGCCAGGATATTCTGGCTGCAGTTTTTTGTTTTTTTCCTGATCCCCCTGGTCCAGTAGTCACGGCAGCCCCACACTCACCCCAGATGGCTTCTGCCTCATCTCTCTGTGGCCAGTTAAGATACATAATGTGCTTTTCGAGTATCAGTGTGCAGTGCAGCCTCTGGATCAGTTAAGACTAGGCAACATTTTTTATCTCGGGTTTCTCTGTACCAAGACTTTGATCCCCCTCCTGCTAGTCTTGGGAAATTGCACTGCAGCTGCTGGTTATCTTTGATGAACTCTTTTTTCTTTATTTATTGTACCCAAATTTCTAAGTCCCTTAAGTGGCTTTGAGTGTACAATATTAAAATTTAGTGAGATCCCACTTTCAGCAACCTTGCTGAGAAGCTGTACATCTACTGCCATGACATAACATGGGATACATCTTCCTTTAGTTCACCATCTTCTGGATTCTAATCCTTACTTTAAAAAATAATAATAAACATCAAATAAAGTGAGGGAAGAGACCATCTCCCATGAATAATTTTAGTTTGTTCACTCCATCCTGTTTTTAGACTTGATTCGCTTTTATAATAGGGTAACAAACAGATACACTCATGGCAATGCCACATTTGTCCAGCTTCATCGTTAAAATTAAATGAGATATTATAGCCAAATAATATGCCTACCTAACTTGTTATTCCTTCAGTTATCAAAATTTTGAAACTTGAAGTTAGTCTTTCATGAAAAACTTTTGAAAATATTGCACATCTCTCTCTCTATTTAAATAGAACTTTCTGAAAAGAATATGGTATGGTGGGGGATTTGTTGTTTGTGGTTTTTTTTGGTGAGGGTTGTTTGTTGCTGTTTTGTTTTGGTTTTTTTGGAACTGGAGATTTAACCCAGGTGTACTTTACCACTGAGCCACATCCTTAACCCTTTTCATTTTTTATTTAGAGACAGGGTCTCAATAAGTTCCTAAGGACATTGCCAAGTTGCTGAGGCTGTGCTCAAACTTGGAATCTTCTTGTTTCAGCCTCTTAAGTCACTGGGATTACAGGCATGTGCCACCTCACCTGGCTTGGTGGATTTTCTTGAAGGCCCAGGACTGCCGTTGTAAACTCATTTTACTGTGTAGTGCTGTTGGGAAACACTTGCCCTACCAGTTGCCCCCAGCTGCTTTTTGTTCGATGATGTCATCTTCATCCCTGCTGTTGACCACTGCTTTTCACAACTGTTCTGTTAAAAATCAATAAGTTCATTTATCTTTTTAGCCTAATAGAGTATATCTTCACATTTTAGAGTAAAGTTCAGTTAGCTTCAGTAATAGCTACTTTGTTCAGTAACTGTTATCTTCAGTATATTTATAGTTTAGAGATTATTCTTTAATAAAGATTAGGAAAATGTGATATAAAAATTTTAAAAAGAAGTAAGAATATTGAACAGACACTCAACTACTTTTGGACCCTTGAAAATAATTAAAATATTTACTTACACCCCAGTCCTGCCTCAAAAATGTATATTTTTTTCTTGTTTGAAAATAACATATCACTATCTCTTCCCAAAAAATGTAAATCTTAATTTTTGTTATATTTGTTTTCCCTGTAATAAGACTTGGGATTCTTTAAATAGCCCCAAGAGTAGAGGCAAGATAACCAGACTAGAATATTTTTCAGTTATGAACTGAAGGGCCTATAAGGATAGAGAGCATAAAAATCCCTTATGTATCTGTATTTATGTTAGAATCTTGCAAACCTTTGATGTACCTAAAACCTGGGTTCTTTTATTGATTGTTGTGGGATGATTGAGTATGATAGTCCCATGCATAAGTTTTATCATCCATTTTATTATGTTGTCTTCATGAGGATTTAAATAAATCTTTATAAATCATAATGATGTGTTTCTTTTTTAGGGATTATAGAGAACAAGCTCCAAAGAGCAAAACCACCCCAGGTATGTATCAATGTCTACTTGACTTCCAAAATGCAAATGAGCAGTGCTTTACCAAAGTTGAAGAATGAAAAATTATAATTGCTTACTGGCCTCAATGAATTTATGCACCCACATAAATGGAAACTGAACATCTTATAATTATATAATTTTTAATTTTATTGGTTTTTTGTTGTTGTTGTTATGTTATGTTGTTGTTATGTTGCCTTCCATGTTAGCAAGACTGTGTTTCTATTTAAATAAGACAGTACAGCATATATTGGGAGACACTCAATAAACAGCTATCTACAAAGATTAAAAACCATGTTCCAGAATTAATTGTTCATATGAAAATTTTTAACTTCAAATTGGACTTCAGTTAATTTTGAAATATTGTCTTTAAATAAAGCAAAATTTATCCTTTAAAAATTGGTTTGATAAAGGAAAAAATCTGTTTCTTCTGTATGCTATTTAAAAATATTTTTTTTTTATTATTTTTGCTTTCTTTTCCAAGATTTTCTGGAAAACAAACCTCAGACTGAGAATCTATTTAAAAAGAATGTACCAAAAGGACCTACAAATACAAAGCAGCAGTTACACCTGCCTCTTCATCCTTCTTGGGAAGCAAGCAGGAGGCGTAAAGAACAACAGTCTAAAATTGCTGTGTTTCAGGGGAAAAAAATTACATTTGATGATTGATCGGTACTTCTTTTTGGACTTTCCATCTAAAAGTTATTTTCCTGTCTTTCCCACCCCCTGGGGGGCGGAATTTTTTTTTTAATTTAATAATGTAACTTATTTTACATTATATCTGAGTAAGTCTTATTGAAGGGGTCATAGAATGCTAAGTGAGAGTTCAAGTTATGTTTACATATCTTTCAGAAATCAAGTACACACTTAAATTAATTTTTAATAATACTCCTTGGATTATTTCTTCTGTAAAAGAATTTGGGAATTATAGTAATGTTAGGATTTCTCATTTGTTCATATCATGAAGTATGTTTCCCTGGTGCAGCTTTTTTTTGTTTGTTTTTTTGTCATGAAAATAAATGTCAAGGTATATTTAAAATAGTAATGAAAAAATTTGAGAACCTCTTAGTTATTTAAAGTAGATTACCTTTGTTAGAAGTTATTCTTTTGAGCAAAACAAAAGTAGTTACTTTATTATGGGTGTACAAAAAATAAATTATATAAATAAACATTAATTTTTTATTATATTTATTACTAATGACTTGTCATGTACTTTACTGTTCTAAAATAGTTTTTCAGAATTAATTTGGGGTTTTTAAGTTATATTTTAGTTACTAAGGCAAATTGTTTAAATGTAGCAACAAAACCAAAGGTCATTTTTATATTCATATAAATATTTCTATTAAATCAAGAATGTATACTGTTTACTTATTTACTCTTATAAAAGCTTTTTTTCTTCTTTTTTGGTACCAGAGATTGAAGTCAGGGGCACTCAACCACTGAGCCACATCCCCAGTCCTATTTTGTATTTTATTTAGAGACAGCGTCTCACAGGGTTGCTTAGTGCCTCATCATTGCTGAGGCTGGCTTTGAACTCAGTCCTCCTGTCTCAGCCTCCCGAGCCCTCCTGTCTCAGCCTCCCGAGCCGCTGGAATTATAAGCATGCTCCGTCCACCTGGTGTAGATTATAATTTATAAGAATAAATTCTAGAAGGAAGAGCATTTCTTCTTATGGCTGAGCAGAGTTAAGAGTGGCTAATTTGTACATTGCAGTACTGTTATTTTAAAAGAAAATAGTTTAAAATATTCCTTCAAATGTTTCACTTTTTGCTACTCTGGAAGAAATGGAAGGTTATTATTTAACTAAACAATGCTTCAATGTTTTGGTTTGTTCTTTTGGTACTGGGGATATAATCCAAGGGCACTTTACCACTGAGCCACATCCTTAGCCCTTTTTATTTTTTATTTAGAGGCAGGGTCTCACTAAGTTAAATTGCTAAGGGTCTTGCCAAGTTGCTGAGGTTGTGCTCAAACTTATAATCCTCTTGTTTCAGCCTCCCAAGTCACTGGGATTACAGGCATGTGCCACCTCACCTGGCTTGGTAGATTTTCTTGAAGCCTAAATTCCATGTTTCCTGCATGTTAATGCTGTTAATGACAGGGAAGATCATCTGGTTAGCCTGAATTATTTGCCTCAAGAGTAATGTCTTCCAATTTTAAAAGCTTAAGAATTTAGGTAACTAGAACAATGGAATTTAAGACATCATGTAAGAATTCTTTTTTTTTTTTTACTTTATTGAGTGCAAAAATTATTTCACTTCTTTTAAATTTTTATTTTAATTTTAGAATGACAAAAAAATAAGTAAAAGAAAAATGTCTTTGTGCCTGCCTACTATAGTTTTTATAAACTGTGAAGTTGAGAGCACTATCTTCCAGACTGCCAAGTCTGCCCAAAACTTCTTACCCCCATTGGAAGGAGCTAAGAATTAGGGTCCAACTGAAAAGTTGGAGGGAAGAGTTTTCCATTTGTTGGCTGCTAGATTTTGTTACATGGAAAATACTGTGGATCTTTCTTCTGGAATGTGGTGAAGTTACTTAAAATCACATTTGTCCTTTTTGAGTAGGCCTAGAACAGACATTAGGGGACATCTGGCAGCATCTGAAAATAGTTTGTGTTATCACCAGAGGGTAGGGATGCAAGAGAAGGTACTGCATCTAATAGATACAGGCCAGGTGTGCTGCTAAACTTTCTACAGTACATAAAAGGTAGAACTTTCCAGCTCAAAATTTTAGCAGTGCTGAGGTTGAGAAGCCCTAATCTGGGGCACATTTGACCCCACTTATTTTGGGACATTACCTTTCAATAATTCTACCCTGGTAGTTTGTATATTAAGAAATCTTTCTGTTGTGCTTAATAAGTACACAGAAAACTATTCCTAGCTTTTTATAAGCTGCTGGGATTGTTCTCACTTCCTTCTAATGTCTTTGTTTATTTGTTTGTTTTCCTCTGACTTTGGTGGATTCTTCACATTCATTGCACAAATCAGTTTTCTACCACTTACTTGAGGGGACCCTTCTAGAGATATCAGGAGCACATCCTCTCTTTCTTTGCATCTTCTTCCTCTACAATATACTTTGCCTTCATAAATTTCAATTACATTGTTCTACCTGAACCCTGAACTCTTTTCAATTCTGTGAAGCCATCAAGTTCTTTGGGGTTTCTTTCTTTTTTCTCTGTAGTTTGGAAACTCTTCAAACAGTGAGCTGATATACTTGTGGCACTGGATTCATTTGTTTTCCTTCTCTCAGAACTGCTATCTTATGCTGCCTATTGTCCATTGTCTAAAACACATTATTTCATATATTTTATAGTTTTCTAGTTTAATATAGAAAGGCTAAGGGGAAGTTGTCACCTTCCTGGCTAAGTGTTTGTTGGGCTTCCTTTTTGAAATTTTATCTTTAATTTGGTGTTATTCCATAGTTAATAAGAAATAGAAGTCCTTCATTATTTATTTTGATACTCATATTGTACTTAATTTGGCTAACGGGAGTTTTGTCAACTAATACCTCTGTCCTTTTGACATATAAGTCCTTTCTCTAACAGCGAGAAAGCCAGTTCTCATTTTCTGCAATATATTTACATGTTTACTCAACCCTAAAATACACTGTAGTCCATCTCAGAATTGCTTGCTAGCAGACTCCTCTATAAAAGAGAAATCAACTGGCCAAAGTTCAGTATTTGTTTAGAGTTTTTCCTTTAACCTGAAGACATATTGGTGTTTTGTTTTGTTTTGGTTTTTGGTCCTGAGAAATTGAACCCAGGGCCTCGTACATGCTAGGCAGTCATTATAATACTACTAGCTACATCCCCCAGCCAGTTTTATTTATTTTTGAGACAAAATCTTACTAAATTACCCAGACTTACTTCAAATTTGCAATCTGTCCTCCTTAACCTCCCCAGTAGCTGGGATTACAGGCATGTACTGCCACATCTAGCTTGATCTTAAAACTCTTTGACAGTTACCTGGAGTATTAACAGCCAGAATAGCAGAATAAGAACATCCAAAAATTCTTCTCTCTTTAAAAGCAATAAGAAAACTGTCCAAACTATTAGATCAGAACTCAGAAATTAATCCAAGGCTTGCATCAATTCAAGGAGTATTTATTCAGGAAAATGACTGAATCTTTCTATAAAAACAATGATTGTAACCATATCTTACCTTGTCACATTTCTATTTCCTACTTTCTTCCATTATGGCCTTGAAAACTAAAAGCCCAGAATCAGTTTTTTTTTTTTTTTTTTTTTTTTTTTTAAAAAGGCAGATACCAGAGGGGAAGAAACAGTTGGAATTTCTCCAAAGACACATTCCTTAAGAATTATCATTATTTTGACCTGCTTGTCCTGGAAGACTACCACTTGCAAGGCTGTCTTATTTGAAGTAGTCAAAGCTTGCTCAGATTGATAACCCTTTTCCTTAAGACAGCTTTTCAGAAACAATTAGAGGCAATTGTGCAACATCAACTTCGTCTCAGTGGATAATAATTGAGGTAAAACCTAAGTTAACCAAAAAGCTTAAAAGGAAATCTGGGGGTGCTGAGGCTGGGGCTTGGCGGTGGTGCATTTGCCTGGCATGTGTGAGGCACAGGGTTTGATTCTCAGCACTGCATATAAATAAATAAAAAATAGAGGTCTATCAACAACTAAATATATACACATATATATGTAAATATATATTTATATGAGTATAAAAATCTGGGGAAATTAATTTAATATCTATTGGTACTTTGACAATTCAGACATAGTCCTTGGAATCAGAGAGATGACTGCAGATTCATAGGACTGTGCACAGACTCAGGAAAGAGCTGAGAAGATGCTGAACTCATGAAAGAGCTCAGCAGATGCTGTCTGACTTTAAGGTGCTTCACAAGCAACATGTGAAGGCTAAGGGGAAGTTGTCATCTTCCTGGCTAAGTGTTTGTTGGGCTTCCTTTTTGAAATTTTATCTTTAATTTGGTATTTAGGAAGATTTCTATTTCTGTTCTCATGGTTGTGGCTTGTACCTTTTTTAATGCCCTTAGTCCCCTCTTTTCAAAATTTGGCATCTGAATTATCTACTTTTAATGCCATTTTTTATTAGTCACCTAAATATTAGTTAATGTATTTTCTCAGATTTCCTTTTAACACCTCCATTTTCCAATTTTTAGTTGCATTATTTTTACTTCATCATAATAATTTAACATGACAGAACATTATCACATTATCTACCCTGTCACCACCTTGGTTTTAATATTAGATTTGTGATTGAGAGTGTTGAATTCTAAATTTCTGAAAAGTATCCCTGGTCTTGTTTTGATGAAGTTAGTTTTCTAACATTTCTCAGAAAAGAACTCATGTTAAGAATTTTTTGAGCTCTTGGTGCTTAAAACATTATCTGTAGTTTTGAAACATATAGAATTGTGGCTGGATCTTAGGATCATAGCTTCTCACCGATTCTGCCCCTTTTCTTTGTGGCAGCTAAACCTCCCTTGAGTCTTTTTTTCAGAAGTTTCTTACTCCTCTTCCAGTTATAAAACCTAACTAATACTCTGGGCACAGTGAATCTTCACCTGCTTCCTGGGTGATGGTGTTTGATTTCCTTCCTGTGACATAAGGTTATTTTCAGTGGGTAGATTCCCAGAGGAATTTGTATATTTTGCAAAACATCCCCCTTCTCTCTTAGGCCTACACCATCAAGGGAAGTTTTATTGGATCAGTTAAACTTTTTGTCCCAGCAGGTCAAATTCTAGGGGTTTTTTGTATTATACACTACCAATCAACCAGCTATTGGTTATTTGGAAGTCATTAGCACCATTCTGCCCAAACTTTTTGCTGCCTATTTTACAGTGCATATTTCATTCTGATTCTACAATATCTTCTAATTCATGGGTGGTTATACAACTTTCGGCCTCTTCTTGGTTTTCAATTTTCTCAGATTAACTGTAATTATCCCAGCTTACATTTTGTATCACCTCTTGGCATCATGCATACTGTATGGCTAAGATATGAAGTGTCACCAGAAAGATCATGATTAGATTATGAGAGCTATAGCCTATGCAGTGGATTAATCTATTTGATGGACTAACGATATGAAAGGACAGCTATACTGGGTGGTAACTGTGAGCAAGTAGGGTGTAACTGGAGAAAGTGGTCATTGGAGGTATGCCTGTGGGGTTTACATTTT